AAGAAGTGGCTGGGGAGAGGGAGGTCTGGGCCTCCCTTCTGAAGCTGCTGCCCCCGCGACCCGACCCCGGATTGGCGGAAGAAAATGGATGGATGGATGGATGGATGGACACTGAGGACCTATCCATGTCATCATTTACCCAGAATGCTTTGCGTGTAAATAAAATAGCTTCGTCCGTGTTAAAATAAATTTTTAAAAATTTACAAAACCAAACAGCCTACAGTACTTTTACAGTCTTTATTTTACCGTTAAAATAAATGTTTATCAAATAAAGTAATGTTACATTATCATGGATCCCTTTAAACAGATTGTGTAATAAAACACATCTACACAAAGAATTTAAACACCTAAAGTCCCTCAACCAGGCTACTTCTCCATATCCATCTTCTACCACTTATCTGTAGTCAGGTCTCAGAAGCAGCAGGTCTAGGAAAGAAACCGCGACACTTTCCTTCTCATCCTGGGGAACCCGAGGAGTTCCCTGGCTAGAGACGATACATAATCTTTGCAGCAAATCCTGGGTCTTCGCCAGGGCCTCCTACCAGTGGGCCTTGACCAGAACACCTCTAAATGGAGGCCAACTCAGATGCTGGAAACACCTCAACTGACTCTTTTCGATGGGGAGGAGCAGCAGCTCTACTTCAAGCTCCCCCTGATCGATTGATCAATCAATCAATCAGGTTTGTCACATCACATAAGCGCAGGCGTACAGGGGAGTGAAAAACTTTGGTGCAAATTCCCACTTGTATGCAGATTACAATAAATACAAAGAGACAAAAGAAGTTCTGATAAGACTCAAAAAAATAATAAAAAATTAAAAATTGAAAAGACTTCCACTRCACAAACTTATACTGTAAACATACAATATTGCACAGTTGAAGATATATTCTGACACTGTAGTTATATTATGATTGTATTTTGTGCATCAAAAACAAATAGATCATGGTGATCCTCACCCTATCTGTAAGGCTGAGCCCAGCCACCCTAAGGAAGCTAATATCGGCTTCTTGGATCTTGGATCTCCTTTTGGTCATGATCCACACCTCATGACCGTAAAGGGTTGGAATGTAGACAGACCTGTAAATCAAGAGCTTTGCCTTTTGACTCAGCTCTTTCTTCCCCTCGACTGGCCAAATCAACGCCCTCATCACGAAGGCCGAGGCCCCAATCCATTGATCTATTTCCTGCTCCATATTACCCAGTTAAACTCCTCCACTGGAAGCAGAGACACAAGTATGGATCTGACTCTCAACACCTCACACATGATCAAGAAAGCYCAGCAGAGAGTACACTTTCTCAGGAAGCTGAGGCACTCCCCCGCCATCCTCATAACCCAGGGCTATTCAACTAAAGTGCTCCGGGGGCCACAGGTCAACAGCTGAGGGGGTCGAACATTCAGCAGTTAAAGTTATTATGTAAATAAACCAAGTTTTACAAAGATCTGTTACTTTTGAAATWGTTTATTTTGCTGCATTTAATCATGAATACAACATACAGAACCCTATAAATGTAGTGATAAACCATCAAAAAAAGAACACATTATGCTTCCTATTTGACACAAATATTATTGACATCTGACTTGCCAAAATTTTAAACCAATTATATTTTCACTTTTGTAGTTTTATCTTCAACTACTTGTAATTTTACCTGACTTGAGTGTGCATTGAAATGGTTTTTACTAGCTTGTAGCCAAGATCCAGATGTTTCTAGATACCAAAAAATGTCTATTTTTAACTAGTAGAAAACCGGGGATTTGGGCTTAAGAGATGAATGAACCAGTTGGCGGGCCGAACTTTGGTCACTCGTGGGCCGCCAGTTGAATAGCCCTGCTCATAACCTTTTACCATGGCACTATTTAAAGCATCCTTCTGACAGGACGATCCTGCACCATGTGGTGAGAATAACTGGGAGAGTCTCGCTCTCCTACTTAATGCTCATTAACAAAAAACTCCATGTTGTAGAAGATTCTGTTCATCCTGTCCAAAAGCTATTTAACCTCCTGCCTGACTAACAATTCCTCAGGTGATAAGGCTGCTAAATTTGTCTCTTTATWCTGACCAGAAGCTCCTTGTGTAGCATTGAAGCTAATTGAGCTCCAGTTAGCTTGGCAGGTAACTTGTCTTTTGGATACATCCCAAAGAGTCTCCCCTTCGTGAGCGCAGCRAGCTCCTGTAACTCTCAACCTTCACACCTTTGCTTCCTCTGCCTTGTTGGGTTGTCTTACAGAACTATATAAAGAGCTGACATTGAGACTTTGACCTGACTTTGGACCCACTGGAAGCATTGATTCAGAGGAGCATGGGGGTGGGATACAAACGGGGGAGACATGGGTGATCAGTTTGCAGGGGATTGGCAGGCAGGCAGTTGCAGCATATCTTGGCGGCGAGGGCTGTAATTACAGTTACAGCCTCAAACGCATCTCTGACCTGCACTGATTACGAGCTATGCTCCCAAACCGTCCAGGGTCATTACTCACCTTGCTAACTAGCATTGTAAATCAGCTGCGGCGGGATCACTGACCTGATATTAGAGCCACAACAAGAGAGTAAACAGGGGCAGATTACAGAGCCTGCGGACTTATAAATAATCGGCGGGGAGGTGGAGGGGTGAGGTGTGGGAGATGTTTATAGCAGGCGGACAAACACCTGTCACTCTGATAAGCCTGATTTATCTTGACTGACATGTCAGCACATAGCTCTGCGCTCACTGACAGCCTCGACTGCCAGCATCCTGCCCTGGACCAGAGTGGTGATTTCTACAGTGGGTTGAAGGAGAGAGACGACGAGCCTCTTCACAGCTTCATTAGTGAGAAAAGTCAGGTGGGAGACGATGAAGTTTGAGGTTGTGTTCTGGTTTAATGGGCTAGAAACAGACTTTTTTATATTTAAAATCTTAGGACCACTTAATTCTTTTCATTGCCTTCATCTCAGAAAGAGGAAAAAATGGTAGAAGGTGAAGAGATTATAAAAATTGACCCATGTGGATACTGATTCAATTGTTTCCTTGTTTATAAYTTCTTCTGTGTTTTGCAATACATATGCATACTTTGTATTATTAYAACCCTCAAATGTCCATCAAATGTCCAGTTAACTTCGATGTTTCCTGTTTAACTATGACTAAACAGGAAATGTCATGTCTCGTTTCTATGACTGAGCGCTGCTAACAAAAAATAACTGAGCTCTWCGTGGTATTTCCTGCATAGAAACAGYRTTTTAACAYGTCMTCTTAAACACCRAAAAGTACTGACTAAATGTGRAATAAATACAGAAATACTATTAAAAGTAAAGSCAAGAGGTTTTACTTGTTGAGTTGTGGTGAGCTGCCACCTTGAATTCTCCCACTTTCCAACAGGGAATTCCCACTGGAGGAGTGTTCTAKTTTAAATTTATGACTTWAAAGTGGAGAAACTCCCACTTCCCAGTACAACTGGGCTGCAGCAAGAGYAGCTGACAAAAATGCATTGAAATGAAGATTTTGCACAGCAAATTTCCCCCTTTACTTTTGAACCCTGTGCACCTATCTARAGGTGGGATGCTGTCATTTTGCAGCTGAACTAATCAATGCATTATGGGAGATGTAGTTTATGGTCAATGCTGACTGTAAAGCAGCATTATTTTAAAGACATTAATACATCGTCGAAGCTCTCGCAGATAAAAATTCCGCCCCATAAAATGCCAAGACGGGCCACATTTGGCCTGCGGACCTTGAGTTTGACACGGGAGATAATAGATGCAGGGATGGTTTTTAGCTGAAGATGCTGAAGGCCCGATAGAAATGGCTGAACAGCTGCTTCTGGCCCTCAGTGATAAGAGTCAAACTCTGCTCACCAGCTTATACATAAAGATATACATACAAAAACACGCAAAGAAAAAAAACGTGTAAATTAAATACACATCTTTTAATRATGTCAAACACTGTCTGTGGAAACTTTACTACGTCTGCAGTTGAGTTATGTTGGTGGTAAATGACCTCAATTATGACATTTTTTTTTCTTCTAAAAAGTGCCTGATTTCAGATTTTAAGGTTTAGGTTGGAGGGCTTTAATGGAATGCTGACATAGGGCCTGTCTGAAGAGAAGGGGCGGAGAGAGAGAGAAMGAGAGAGAGAGAGAGTGATACATTTCCTACAAAATGCCCAGGGGGAAACCRTAAATAAGGCTGAGGTATGTCTGACAGAAACTCTCCACAAAGCAGCGCTCTGACCTACAGCTTATAATCCGGTTAAAGAGCAGAAGAAACAGCTGATGGCTTGATCAGGATTACAGCCCCAAAGTGGAAAAGATCAAACCTTTGAGCCCTCTATTCCAAGCCCAAAAAGTGATGAGAGAAAACATTGATGGAAAAGTCAGCACAGAGAAAGATGTATAAAGAAGCAAAAATGAACGTGAAGTTCAGCAGAAATAAAYGCACATTTGATTTTGGTTTCATCTTCAATAAATTCAAGCTTATTTATKAACAGCTCGACCATTTGACAGCTAAAAGGGCGCCTTTATGGTGAAACGTATTAATTGGTGATATTCTGGCATCATTAGTGTAATTTAGTGCTTGGGAGAACAAACGACACGGTGGCATTTTATCTTTGAAGCGTTCTATCTYGGTGTTAAATTGCAATAAAAAGCACCTGTATATTCTGAGGAACTCTTCCAGGAGATGGTGGCGAAGCAGACATCCATTAGGGATATCCTTTATTGGCACTTAAAAATGAGAGGCAGCGTTTAGCCTCACTCGCCATCGACAACCTGACCCACTGCCAGCGGATAGTAAAAAAAAAAAAAAAGGAGGGCTTTTAGGGGCCAAACATCACATTATTTTTAAAGAAATGTTTGCTTTATGGTCTTAAAATTCAAAAGTTATTGCTTTAAGGTGAAAACGAAGAGAAATTTGTCTTTGATTTTGTCTTTATAGCTGATTATTTTATGCTTATTTCCTTCCCTCACTTTAAAACAAAGCAGCTCTTCCATATAGTGTATTCAATAAGTAATTATAGTAATTCATTACATCTCCAATTAGTAGAGGAGCTTTATTGCAGCACTATAGTAGAAAAAAAACTGGATTTATGTTGGGTTTGAATGTCACCCAGAGGACAGAGGACTACGGCTCATCACTCAACAAGAACAAAGAAGCAAGACAAAGAAAAAAAACATAGATAGTGAGCTGCTATTTGATGAAAGCCTTTTCSCTTCCATTTTCTTTCCCAGSCTTRAAAAAAAWAAWTCTTGATAAGACTACGTCGTCACCCAGAGGAATGAAAGTTGTGGTATTTCAGTTGTTCCAGCATGTCGACTCAGAGGGACGTGCTCGGCCAGCACCGCCTCGCCTGCTGTCAAACGGCCCCTCGGAGGGCGATAAGCAGCCCTGCCATGGGCACGGGGCGGCTGTCTGATTAGTGCAACCTCGGCCGTTCCACTCAGGCACGCAGCCCGGCCCTCCCATCTGCTGCGCCGAAGCTCCTCTGCCCAGAAGCAAAACCCTCTCAGGTGACATTTAGAAAAGAAAAAAATATATATTATTAACGTCACTTTGAAGCTCGGAGACAAAAATGCTGACCAGATGAGTAAACTCAGATTTTAAGACATTTCATTTAAAAGTTGTGCAAAAACATATCATCAAAAAGAGAATTGGTTTTTAATGTTTTGTATTTTATTTTGTAATAATAATAAAAGACAGTTTAACTTTTACCCCCCTTTTGTTTAGGTTTTCTGCTGATATTAAACATCTGAGTGCAGAGATGTTMCAGATTATTAACATTTTCAGGATTAAATTCAAAGCTCCAGATGCAAAAGGTTTATAGGAATTTTGTTGCTCACAACAAATATTAAACGGGACTTTATCCAATACTGCCTATACTGCCACCTTGTGGTAAAAAAAAGATTTGACCCTTTTCCGACACTTAAATTAGCTCCTTTTTATTTATTTTGCRGTATTTAAAACATCAGTTTTGCAGAAAGCAGCACAAAGAGGGAAAAAAATACAGCTTTAGTAGAAAATAAATATTAATAATTGCAACAAAGTGAGAAAAAGTCTACTTAAATGTATCAGATGAACAGACTGTTTTGACCTCAAAGAGGATTAGGTCTAATCCAGAGGACATATAATGTATTTACAGAACATACATCTCCAGCAGGTAGTCTTTAGGAACGATACCTACAGCTCCGTTCTTCTCTCCAACCCACCAACCAAAGCTGTTGTACTCCTAAAATTAAAAAAACACAAATAATAATTAACCACTGCAGCAGGAAGATCACAAAAATCTGTTAACATGTTCTTTATTCTCATGTTAACAGTAACAAAAACAGGAAAACGTGACGACACAACATCCATCTTGAGAGTTTTGTGTCATTTTGTGGTCATATTCATTTGGCTGTTTAGACCAATGGTTCTCAATCAACATTTTTTTTGTATAACCCTTTCAAACAATCATTCACAATACAAAAGTTACAAACAATACAGAAATGCCAGAAATCCACTATTGGTACTAAAAGCCAGCCTGAATCAAAACAGGTTTTAAGCTGTTTCAGCTTCCAGAGTCTGTGAGCAGCGACTGAAAAGACCTGGTCACCCCAACGCTTGTGTTTAGATTGTAGGACAAACAGGTATTATTTGATCATAAAATTCTCTTATGTCAAAAAAAAGCTACTAGATCAGTTGTTGGGTGAGACYATTAAGAGCTTTAAAAGTGAATAATACAAGTTTAAAATTAATTTTTTAACCCACAAAATACCAGCAGCTATTTTTGGGTGGTAAACATTGGTATCAGGTCAAATAAACCACAACATTCATGATGCTAATTTCATCCATTTTTAAATTCTGTAACTTCACACTTTGATAACTAAGGCAAAAAAATTATTGGTCATTTTTAAATGGATTTAATTCTGAAAATCTGTTCAAGACCCCACCTTGATGTTTCAGGACCCACAGTGGGACCCAACTTTCAGAACCAGTGCTTTAGAACCACTTTGGTTTCTTTAGTGTTTATTCTCATAATATCCATCACTGAGTTCTGTTTGTTTCTGAAGACATTTTCTTTGTCAGTTTGTTTCTTTGTGGTAATTTTCCATCTAATCTTTTCAACTCTTCGGTTTGGTAACACGTTTTTTTTTTTAATCATTACACACTTTTATTACAATTCCATCTTTATGGTAAAATAACCCTTTTATGATTGTTTAATGATCTATTTCAAAGTTTGTTTTATTACTCATTTGAGCATTTTTTGGTTTAATCTCCACTTTTTTTTTGTCTCATTCGGGTCATTTATAGCCAGTTGTGTTCTCATTATGGTCGCAGATTTCCTCCTTTTTGGTCATTTTAGGCTGTTTTGTGTCACATTTTGGTCGTTTTGCATCTGTTTCTCATCATTCTGCATCTCTTTGTTGCCATTTGGCTGTTATGTGTCCTTTTTTTTTGTCTTTGTAAAGTCCTCTCTTCTGGAATTTCCATTTCTATTGTAATATTTTTTACATCCCTTTTCTTTGCCTGCTTTGTTCAGTTTGATCATATCATGTCCCACTGACAGCTTCACACTTCCTGTCCTCCTCCTGCTCTCTACCTGCTGTCAGACTTGGACCTGTTCGCTTCCCTCCGCTCCACAGAGAACCCCAGCGTGCRCACACTGCACGTAAATCTGTCACAGCTCGACAAGGTACAGCTCCAAAACGGCCCGGTCGTCATGCTGAGATGAGAGGGGGATCGCTGCGAGGACAGATCCGAGACAAGGAGGGAACAAACCCCTCTGGTTCTGGTTCTGTCTCTGGAACCGGAGCAGAACCTGACATCAAAGTCTTCCCGGAGCATGAATCAAAAGCCCCGGAGCTCAGATTCTGACGTGACTGAAGGAAGGGCTGAGCTGTGCAACGACTCAAGCCAGAACTCCGAGACAAGCAGCAGCCAACATCTGTGCCCCAGTTCTGCTTAAATCAAAGTAATATATGTTAGAAGTCATGCGGCAGAGCTGCGGAGAGGAAGATTACAACTGTAGTACAGGCCAACGCTGACAGGCATGTGGTGATGGATCAGCTCGCTCACATCACAACTCAATTCAGACCATTACCAAGAGTTTAAAAAGCTAGGATTGTCAAAAACTAAAATATGTACGAAGTCAATTTAGCAAATACTGAAATAACACTTTTATTGTTTTATTACACGACAAAAACTGTATTTAATTTCAAACCATTGAATAATTATACGACATGAAAAGTGAGCTTTTGTGTGTGTTTGTGTGGACATGTTTCTGCTATAGAGTGAGGACCGACCCATGTTTCTAACCAGCAAAGTGAGGACATTTTCCCGGTCCTCACTTTGTTTTGCAGTTCTGCTCTACTTGATTTATTGTACCGAGATTTGGGGAAAAGCGTGTAAAAAATCTATAAAACCCATTTTTGTTATGCAAAAACGCGCTGTGAGAATTGTAGCAAGGAAATACTTCTACCACTATTCAAATATCTCGTTTAGTCAATTGGGTCTTTTAAAGTTTGATGAATTGGTAAATTACAGAATTCTGTTGTAAAGGGCTCATAAGAATACATTGCCCTGTAACACGCAATTGCTGTCTTTATAAGAGATAATTTATGTCATTTGAAAGGATTTGAAACRTTCCTCAAACCAAAAATCAGAACTAATTTTTAAAGAGAAATGCAAGTCCTTCCAGGGAATCTAACTGTGGAACAATTTTGAGAGTGTCTTCAAAACGGCCAATTCAATTCMTATATTTGCTAGATTGTCAAAATATGAACAAAATGTAGATTGAGTATAAATTTGAGTATTTGTTTTGATTTTGTTTTTTTTCAGCTCTGTTGTTAAAAGTGAATTATGTTAATTAATGAATATTCACAGGCTGGTTGTGCTTTGAGATATTTATTTCTTTTAAGTGAGGGCAGATGYTCTAAGATTTTTCTTCTTTCTGCTCCTTTTCATTTGATGTAGTTCTTGTCTTTTTGTTTGTTTTTTGCATTTTTGTATTTTTTGTGTATTCTAAATAAAAAAAACATTTCCAGCCATTTTTGTGTTGGGGGTTAGGACTAAGACATGAACTGAATTTAGGTTAGGTTTATGTTCTGGGAGGGTTAGGTTTAGGCTAGAAATGACTGAAAATGAATAGAAGTCAATGAATGGTCCTAGTAAGGATAGAAATACAAACTTGTATGTGTGTGTGTGTGTGTGCACAGATTGAGACTTCCTGCCAGCAGCCTTTGAAAACAGCAACACCTCATTGTGTGGTCAGCTGGCTGACAAATAAGTTATGTTCAAGTGAGCGTCAGACACAACAGAAGAACTGAAGAACAAATATGTGGAGCTGTGGATGAGTGATGACGCCACACACACAGACCGCACACACGTCTATCACCACGAATTGACTGAAAACATGTTTTTAATTKAATTTAATTGTGTGTACCATGAAAAGCTTCAAAGCATTAGGTTAATTTAGTCTTAAAAAGTGATAGTTTGGATTAGGCGTGTCCTGTTACCAGTTTCTCGGTTCTCAAACTGAATAAAAGTACATTAGTTTGAGTATTCGCTAATACGGAGTACTTACTAAGTTACAACTTAAACATTATTAAAAATGCATTTTTTTTGTTTAGATGGTGTCTCCTTTCTTACAGGCCTACAGCCCCTCAGACTGGATCAAATCAAATATACAGCATGATATACGCTGTTGAAACATTTTAAAATAAGTTTTTTAAAAAAAGATTTTCTTTCGATTTGTGTACATTTCTTAAACATGGAACTGACAAACCTTTCACTTGAAATGTACACTGTAACACATTCATTAGAGTATCAATACCAGCACTGGTATCAGTTCAGAGTATAAGGCAATTTGTACAAGTAAAAATGATAGTATCTATTGGGACACCAGTAGTTTGGATCATTTGAAATGTAGTTTTGTTGGAAAAAATTGTGACCAATTATCTTACCTGTAAGTTAAAGTTTGAAAAAGAATTTAAAAAAATAAAAATAAAACGAGTTTAACTTTGACGAGACTGACGAGCTAACGGCTAGTCTGAAATGAGCCGGGAGCAAAGTGGATTACTGCCGTTGCAGAAAAAAACTCAGACCTCAAAATATTCTGAGGTGAAGAGTTAACTTGTCAATCTGATTTGAACAAAAACAAACTGAGGTTGTTCAAACAGCTACCTAYAGCAGGTAAGATATTAACTGCTCATAACCTCTCCACAGGACCCCACTTCAACAGATTCATCCCTTTAAGATTTCTCAAATATATTTTCTTTTAGGAAAGTGATTTTTGCAGGGTTGGGGAGGTGTGTACCCACTCAGACTAGTTTTATAAGTAGAACCCTGACTGTGGAGGGGAAGGGGGGCTTCTCGCAGCTGAAACACTACACTTACGTCTGC